AACAGGCAGCCGAAAACCAGGGTGGTAAGCAGAGTCAACCCTGCGTTGCGCAGTTCTCAACGGCCACGTTGCGCAGTTTCGCCCGATTAGACACGTTCTCTCGCGCGAACATTCACACTCGCATGCTCGAGCCGTCTGTGTCTCCGCCCATACAGCGTGCGTTGAGGATCTCTCAACGTGCCGTTGCGAACTGCGCAACGCAGGGTTGACTCTGATTGTAACTGACTGACACCCTGTACGCGCATGAATGGTGAGCCGATAAGCAACATTTCTGGAAAAAGTGCGAACGTGACGGTTGGTCCTGCCCACAGCAACAATCATCTAACCCACTCCAGTGCCACCAGTTTCTTAACACATGAAATAAGATTTGCAATCGACAGATTCGCATGGTGAACATAATAAAGCGAACATTGTACATTATCCACCGACTCACCGTTTATCTTCTTTTCGATTGCAGCCTTTTCATCCACAAAACGATCTGAAGCAGTGACCAACTCCGACTTATGTTCGGCTTTAAGATGTTCGAGACTCTGATAAGGAAAACAGAAATAAATTGTACAAATAAAGGCCATACATAGTTTTTCATGAGAAATACAGCTATGAAACTAGATATGAGAAGAGAATTTTAGAAAGCGACAATCAGAAAAGAGACCATGGGACAGATTTAGAAAACTAACGGCTACATTTCAACACAAATCCTGCGCACACTCACACTACGGCGACTGCCAAATGAATAAGTTAACGTTTACACGAACAACATGACTAACTAAAACCTGGCCATAAACGAAAACAAGCAAAAAAATGTTTGAGAAAGTAATATCCTAAACCAAACCAGAATAAGATCAAGAGTGAAAGCAGTATGTGGACTTAATTACCTGACGTAGTTGTTCCATTTCAATGTCAGCTTTCGCTAGTTGCGACCGTAGTTCATCCACTGCTACTGCATCACTTTCTGCTTTGGAAGACACTGCCGAAAGGCTTTTCTCATTCTCTTCCAGTTTCCGACTAAGACTTGTTAACTGCAACGATTATGCTTGCATATACAGATTGACCTGCAAAAAATGCTACAAACCAACCTCTTCATCTTTGTCCAGCCTTCTCTTTTCACTAGCTTCAAATTCTTTCTGTAATTCTCCCAGCTTCGTCAAAGCCTGAAGAGAAGCCGAATAGATTTCCGCTTGTCATTTGATAGAGAATCACGAACCGAAACATGTTCAGTTCGGAACTTTTCGTATGCTGCCTTCATTTTGGCAAAGCGTTGTTCGGCCAATCGTGCCTGTTCCTGCGCTTCCTGCACCCGCGTGTCGTTGCTTTCCACACGCTGTGCGTCTCGAGTGGCCAAATCACCTAAAAAAATGCTGTGAGTCAGACATGAGCAAAACCCAATTTGACTTTTACGCACTGGGGATTATACCGCACTTGTCAGTGACGATAATTAGCTCAAAGAAGATAAAATGTTTGTGTGCAACCTACGCCGCAGGCTCTCTGACTCCTCACGAGCTTCGTCAGCTTCCCGTCGTGCGTGCTCATACTCTCCTTGCATTTGAGCCAGTCTATTTTCGTACTGCTCGATACGAGAACGTGCCTCCGCTATCAGCCGCTCCTTAGCAAACCGCTCGTCTTCGAGATCCCTAGTCAACGCCAAAATGTGCTCATCCCTATAAGAATCATAACTTCGCTCCACTTTTTTTCCAATGAGCCAAGTTTCGCAATGACTGTAGTGCAAAACAGTACAACGCCCAACTTCGACGAGTACCACATTGCAGCTTGATCAGCGCAAGCATACCCATAATTGCGACTGCGAGCACAGTATAATATGTGCGCATGTTACAAGCAAAAAAGTACGTTTCAATGAATTCGTTAAAAAAGAATCACTACGTACCTTGGATCCGACTGGCCTGAAGTACGTGCTTGCTGCTCATTCCGTTGTTCTTCTGAGCTTAGGTCCAGTAAAACCTCATCAGCAGCCACTGACTGTCCATCTTCTGAACCTTCAGAATGAAGATAAGCATGGGGCGTTTGATAGCTGTCCAAATCCGAAGCTTGGAGAAAGTTAGGTGCTGCCTGAAAGAAAATCTTTGTAACATATGAATGTTTAGAAAAACGCACAACGCAAACCATACAGAAGGCAACGTCGGTATTGAAACCAAATATTTGAAATATTGCAGATTGCTCGACTCTTCATAAAACTTCTTCGTCTTCCGAAAAATTTCCTAAAAATGTCAAATATAATACGAACGACTAGGAACAAAGTAAAACCACACATTCAGGCAACTGCGCATTTGAAGGAGAACGAAAATTGTGTTTGCATTCAATTTTACGCAGTATCAAGAAAAATAGTAAAGGAAAAAAGGCGTGGATCTCCTCAGCTCCATAAGGCGAAAAAACCACCTAGACAACCTGCTAATGCGGACGGGAGTGCGCGTTCGCTATGAATCGCAAAAGAAGCGCCAGTAACTGGGAACCGGAGAAGGGAAGTCCCATGCTGCGGAATTTTACCAAGGGATTGGGGACCTACATTTATGAAACGCAGTGGCTACATTTATGAAAGGCAGTGGAAAAGATCCACTGGCAGCTACTGGTAGATGGATGCACAGTCATGTCGGATGTTTACTGTGAGGAGTTAGTTCCAGTAGCGCTATATTACTGAGGAAAAGAACAACAAAATTTTCCTAACGACCTAATTGAACCTTAGACTTGGAACTGTCAATCTATAATGGAAACTAAATAGAGCTAAACAACAATTTATAAAAAAAACGGACAGAGAAAAGTTGAGAAAATGCTCACCCTGAACCTGGTACGGTGCCCCTCAAGCGCATCTGGTGGCAACTGCCCATGCAGCTTGAAAATCATCTTGACAAGATAGTCATAAAACTTGCTTGTGTCAAGTATTACTAAAATTAGCGGTGCGAGTAAGCACTGCCCTTGAGGAACCAGAGAGCTCCAACGAAGGCACTCCATAGCATCGTACACTGAAGAAAAAAACTATTTCCACTTCACTGAGCTCCACGAAACTGAGCTACAAAGACGTTCAAAAGTACTCGGCGAAATAAATTTTCGACTGTAAAATCTTTCAGTGACCAAGATTACTTCAAATGTTGGCATGAATATAGTATCGATGTAACAAACATTTTTCAGCATTTGTTAGTATTGTATACGTATATTTGTTTGAGATTTTTACAGAAGCTAAACTCAAATCAGTAACAAAGTTCACAAAAACTTTCAGACAGTGAAGTACCGTCCGTATTTCAAAGTCAAATTAGGTGTGTCTATGGATATGACGTGGCCGTCGCGCACTTGATAGAAGCCGTGTGGATAAGCTGGATATCAGCGAAGCGTGCTGGAAGCAGCTTATCCGCGCAACTTCTATCAAGTGCGGTGGCCGCCACGTCAAACCTGTAGACACGCCTAATAAGTTTTCGAGATTTAGTGTATAGATCTTGTTTCAAGTAAATTATTAGTAATGGATTATTACAATATCTTATCGCAGATATTCCAGTATCCCTTGTAATGATTCATTAGAAAGGAAAGTTACGCCCGAAAGTTTCCGCTACCCTTCCTAGTGAAACGAAAAGGGATGAAAGGCGAAAGGAAAAGACTTCTGATAGTAATATATGAGAGCTATAGAACAAGAATAAAGCTCTGTGAAGGCTTTACCACAAACCGTTTGACTGTAAACTGAGCAAATTGTCCATTTGATCCAACATGTCAATCGTCATTTCAAATGCATTATCCAAATCGCTCTCAAGAGTTTTGATTTGAGCTTCAGTTAGTATGAGGCTGCCCGGCATTACAGGGTACTGAAAACAATTGATAAAGAACCACAACAGCTGAATGTGTTGAGAAAGAATAACCTTTCGATGGAATTCGAGTCTCTCTGCAAGCAGCTTGCTATAAGTTTCGTTGCAGATTCCATATCCCGAAGTATTGAGATGCTTCCAAAATTGTCCTAACTGCTTTATCCTCGATATAAACCTACAATCATCAGCATCAAAGACTGTCGAGCACAACTGAAGTAAACGACTCAAGTGAGACCTGTGGGATTCATCCGGTACTTTTCTGTGCCCATCGCGAATAAGTTTATGAAGAAGATGGCAGAACTAGAACAAATGAATGATGTACCAAAATTCCTTCAAAAAAATTCGACCAAGCATAGACACTTCCATATTAACATAGCTACCTTCCATGTCATCACAGGATTTTTTTCCAACTGAATTCGATTGACAGCATTCCAGAACACTGCCGCGGACCTAAAAATGAAACTTGGTCGATTTACATAAATTTAATAAAAGTCGTCCTACCTTTCTTGGTGAGTTCCAACGATGAGACGCCGGGCGTGTTTCGGTTTAAGAGGCACTTCATATTTGGTGAGCGCTTTATGAACTGCTTCGAGCTATAAAAAGCTCAAACTTATACAGACCACGTAACAGACGAGTCGATTTGTCAGTACATTTGTAGGCAGGTCCCCCCTCAAAACGTCTTGAGAATGTGACAATCAAAAATGACAAAAGAAACACGCTGTCCTACAAAAAAGGTCCTCATTCAAGGCTATCCTTCCCCATCCGCTGTGGGATAGATCAGGGTTGCGTCACATTACTAACCACTGAACGACGGGACTCGACGTCAACCCTCAGACAACGCGTGCATATTTGAGTACATTCATTGAAAGCAAAAGCGAAGCGAGCGGTACCGTATCCCAGAGGGGATGCCTATTGATTGGAGCAGACGAGCCAGGAGTAGCTCAGAAGTTCAAAATTATACCACATCCAAAGGGTGTGGATAGCATTGTTGAATCTGGTACTTAAGGACATGTTTCCAAATCCTAACTCGGCCGCCAAACCTCGTAAGTTCGCAGACATAAGTACAACTTTTGAGATGGATGTCGCACATTGCAAAAAAAAATTGAAATTTCTGCTCAGTTTCGAAAAAGAAATGGAGTCGCTTCATGTCACTATTCATAGGAGAATACGGCGAGCTCCTGCACTACCGTGAATCGAAGACAGAGATTTTCATTCTGTCGGGAGGATTAGCTTCGAAAGGGAGGATAGCCTGCAAAAAATTAGTGCAGGAATGTAAGAGGGCATACCGTAGTCGCACTAGGCGTCATTTAATTGTTCCACAATGCTCTCGCTTCACGCTTTCGTTTCTCTCTCGCCTTATCAGCGGTTGATGACCACTGTGATCTCACACATTCAAACTTTTGCCACACTGTAGTTGGCTCACCCACCTCGGAGTCCCTCCCCCTTACAAGGCTTAGTCCTAGGGCTCTCACCTCCCTCCTTGGGATTTGGAGCCGAGCCAGCGCCGTTCTCTAATTGTGACAGGACCATAAAAGAAAGTTCAAGTAGTCCGTAAAACCGTTTGAAACCACAACAAGTATTGGTTTTGGCCCCGGGAATAAGACTCATCAAGTCATGAACAGATACATATCGATCGTGCGATCGCATGGGATGTGCGATCGTACAATCGATCCGTATCCGTTCCACACTGGAACCTTACTCCCGAGACAGAGTAGAATTTGAAATCGAGAGTAAAAAGAGACGAAGCAAATGTGTGGTCTATCACTCCCCCTCCCCCAGCTCCTTTTTCAGTTGGATGATTTCCATGGAGGAAAGGCCCCGTTCACAGATCGCGATTTGGCGATTAAGTGATTTGGCGACTTGGCTATTATGCTGACAGGAAAATATACGTATCGACTGAAGGATTGTCGACATATCACTGTCTCTAGTCGAAAATTTTCCCTCCTCACGTATGTCAGGCATTCGCTCACTGCCTACATAACAGTACCGTCCATTATGCTAGAGGTGGTCAACAAGCTTTCAGATTGGGTTCTGGGTCTTACGCCCTGGGTTCGTGTTAAGATCAAAGAGGCAACTACTGGCCCGCCCGGGAATAACTTAGGTTAGTTGCGCTGCCCAGACCGACCACACTCTCCCTCGTTCTCAACCTCTTACACGGGACGTTGATGCTTGCCATCAATTCATTATTCTCATTACGCGAAATGTCGGTGAGTGAGTTGGCATGAATTTTCGAGGAGTTCTCATTCACATCAATTATTCAAGGTTCTCAACAATACTGACATAGATTCAGTTATTGCCTACGGACACTTCAGAATTTAATTAGCGTCGCTAATCTAGGCCGAGTAATGAAAATAACTATCCTATGTGCCTCTTCGTGTGAGTGATTCACTGATTGCTTGTAGCTTCACGCTCCAACTTTGCACAATCCCACAATGATCCAATATGTCTTTAGCCAAGCGCACATTGGTGCAATTTAATGAAATAAATAAATAATCTAAATGTGTATTAAACAATGTGAGACTTCAAAATTTTATTGCAAAAGACTCAAAACTTTCTACAAAAGAAGATTGCAAAAAATGAGTGTTGCAAAAGTTTTGCAAAAGTTTAAGCCTTTTTTGGCGAGCTTTCGGCGCTTAGCGCCTTTGTCGAGCCTGAAATGAAAATTATAAGCTTCTCTATTAAAGTCTGTTTTTATTTCAGGCTCGACAAAGGCGCTAAGCGCCGAAAGCTCGCCAAAAAAGGCTTAAACTTTTGCAAAACTTTTGCAAACACTCATTTTTGCAATTCTCTTTTGTAGAAAGTTTTGAGTCTTTTGCAATAAAATTTTGAAGTCTCACATTGTTTAATACACATTTAGATCGACATGAGACTTCGGGACAGAACAATTCTAAGATAATAAATAAAATACAACTGATATAACACGACATTCTGGCGGAGCGGGGTCAATTTGATCAATGTGTACCTATCCCTTTGAACTTAATCGCCGAATCGCGAAATTATCGCATAATCGGCAAATTTTCAGATCGACACTTATGTTTTCCTATCAAGATAAACATCAAAATTCGCATTAATCGCGAAAGACTATGGCCAATTAGCAAAAGAAGCATGACGGCATAGTCTTGGGAGATAACCCTGAGGATGACTGAGAATTGAAGCTCAAACACAAGATTTTCGTCAAGTAAGCTCACCTGCCCTTTAACGAATGCTTCACGATCCATGCAGATTTCGAATCAATCAACTGACACGACTATTCAGACGATTTTGATCCTGAACGTTAAGGAATGACTTATGGATTCGAGAAAGGGGCAACAAATCCATGAACGACTTACTTCTCAAACTCGCACGATTCGCACAGGAGAGGGACCCTACTTCATAATTTCCGGAGCTACTGCTCTGATACTGCGGTTGGAGTGAAGCAAAATCGGGCCCACAATTCATGGGACGCCCCGTAAAGATATGGTGCAGGTGTGCCCGGAATCAACATAATTCACATTGAATTCAGCGAGCGGAATCGAGCTGATTCGTCATAATGTGTTACCATGATATTAAGCTCTTCCGTGACCACCCGTAATCGGCGCTCTTCATTCCCTTTATATTTTCTGCATCGGGGCGCGAACTGCAATTTGGGCGCCACTCATCTTATGGGATTAGACTGAAGAAGTTTAATGAATGGTATCAATATGGTTAAGTCCTACTCAGTCTCAGTTCTCTAGAAAGTATAGGCTGTATGTTGGTGTTAGAAACGAAATGGAAGAAGACGAAAATGCAATTACTCTGGAACGGGTTGTGTCCACAACTAGTTCCTTAGCAGCTGGCATTAAAAGTGGTGAAAGTGGAAGCGACTACCTCTGCATCGATCAGTCGAATGAGGAGAAGTGGGTGCGTTCATCAGTGAAATCCTGAAGAACATTTCACACCGCGGCTGGCTCGGGGTAGAACGATACTAAACGAGAAACCATGAGTCAGAATGTCCTGATTTGAAGCTTTGAGTAAAGGCATGATAGATGTTTGAATATTTGGAGGACCCGCTGGTCACGTCCTCCAATGGGGTCAAGTACACATCTTCGAGTCTCAGGAGGTTCCGAGAAGATCTCGTTGACACGATCTAAAACTAACTTGCGGGCAAGAAGCTGCACCTTTAGGGCCGATAGTGACTATTTAGATACCCGTCATTTTATCACTGGCGTAATTCAAGCCTCGTTGTCAAATGGCGGGACCCATTGTTTTCTGAGACTGATTGTATAATTTATTTTGGTTTTATTTGGTTGTGTGCAGGTTTTTGCTCGATAACACATGGGGATTTTTCTCACGTATGCCATCCTTAGACGTAACAAACTTATAACTTAAAAATATGAAGGCATAAGAAAGTAAATGTGGCAATCAGATGTTATTCAGGCGAAGGAAGAAGTCGAAGTTAGAATATTGATGCTATTCGAAATTCTGAGTTCGGTTCTTCATCCCGAAGGCGGCGCAGTGAACGATGTCTTCCGAACCAGATGAAGCGCCAGGAAGTCGCGAATGTGTGTTTTGCCGCGCCGTGACCTAACGACGCACCCAGCTACCCCTCGGTCATACAATGTTATCTGGGGCTATCGCTCTGAGAATATTTACGTGGTGTAAAATGTATCTATATGCGAGGTTGAGTAGAATCGGAAAACGAACTCCTGCCAGAAATGTTGAAAGAAAAATT